TGAAATATCGCGATATTTCAGTGTATCGATATTTTCTTACACCCCTACGAACAGGTGTAAATGTTGTAAACGCTGACTCAGCACAGTTCTGACATCTTAAACAGAAGCTCAGCTCCTATAAATACGTCACGTTCTGAATGTTTACTGACAGATTCAGGAGACTTTACTGAATCGAGCCGTCACATGAGTAGAACTGTAGCCCTCCTGTTTAACCCCGCCCCCCTGCATCACTCGTTACTGCCTCCGACCTGACTCCTCACAGCGTTCAGCCCATGTCGATCTGAGCCGGATCAAAAGGAAAACAGAAACCTTGAGAGATGCGAGCGCTTCCTCCCTGATGTGGAAGTGAACAGGTGACTCAGAGCCGAGGTTTTAATGAGCTGCTGTTTCAAAAAGAAGAAYAACAAACGAAGCAACAGATAAAACAAGTCGTCGTTGTCAAACTGTCGGCTCAGGAGCCGTTATAGACATATCTGTGACACAAAGAGAGAAAAAAAGATGTTTTGTTTGTAGAAACAGGATGAAAGATGCTTTGAAGAGGAAGTCTAAATYATGTAGTGTTAAGCTGTTCAATGTCGGCTTTTATGGTTCTTTTTATTGTAGGAAGATTATGAACAGTCAGTGTTTTACCTGCTGTAGATAGTTTTYTAAACAACATTGATATTTAGAAATAGTCTTTAATTCTGACCAGAGCGACGAGCTAATTGCTAATCTGATCAAAACTAAAATGTGTTATTTTTAATCAGAATGAWAAAAAACTATTACATTCCTGCAGGAAGTACTACAGCTAGCTCCAGCTGTTGTTTTTCTTTCAGCCACTCCCATTGAACCCGTCTGAAAGATTTGGAAAGATTTTACGTCTGGACTTGAACCTGCAGCCTCGATTTACGAGCCTGCGGCACCGACCACCGAACCACCGCAGCCTGCTGCCTTAGCTTCTGCTTTAAGGCAGCAGGATGCGTTTCAGCTATTTCCACACCAAACTTCAGCCGAATATCTGTCGATTTGTTATGGCAGCCATTTTTATTTGGCTCGACTTTGTTAAAGTTGTAAGAAAATATCGATACACTGAAATATTGCGATATTTTATTTCCTGATATTTTATCCCTATTTAATTAATCGTGCCAGTGGTTCATTCTTTTGTTGTAATTTAGGCTCCGACCACTAGTTGGCAGCAGTCAGTCMGCCMTTTAGCTCCACTCCACAGYAGCCAGAGAGRYTYATGRTAGCTCAAACGTTAGCATTGTGAGTAAACATTAGCACTAAGTACCGATGGCTGAATCTCAGTGGATTAGACAGACACCTGCTGCCTTCAAAGCTGAGGTAGTGTGGACAACTGTCCCGTATGAACTGGGATGTCCACTGTTTTCAGCCATATTCTACTGGCAAACTGTCATCCTTGGACCCCCCCACCCCCCACCTCCCATCACAGAAACAGACTGTAGCAGATTCATTTAGCATGTTTACTGAACATTAGCACAAGATATAAGCAGTTGTTAGTGTGGTAGGCYACCATATTTTTACTATAAACTAATATACATTTAAAACCTGCCACAAATATATTTAATGTTATATTTGGCCTAACCATTGAAAACATGGACGAAATAAGAAATATGAAACATAAAATACATAAAAAACATACTGAGGTTTAAAAACAATGGATATTATGGACAAAAAATGGCAATATATTGCATAGCTTTCAGTATCACAATATACTCTGATGTACTGTAATATATTYTGATATTTCTTAATATATTGTGATATATTGTGATATATCGTAAAATATCATGACATAATGTGATATATTGTAATATATTGTGAAATATTGTAATATATCTTAATGTATTGTGATATATCATGATATATTGTAATATATTGTGATATATTGTGATATATCATGATTC